TAACTGATATATTGTTCTTATGATCCACATCCCCTGCTCCTAAATTTAAAACATTGTGAGGGTTTTCTAGCTCTTGGTCAGGAAATGATTGCCAACTAGAAAAGTTTAAATTTTAAAAAATAATGAAGTATTTGTTACATCTTGAGGTAAACTGCCAGAAATTAGAAAGAAAGTTTGTTTTTACATATATTGTCCTTGCTTCAATATAGCAGCAAACTCTATTAGCTTCCAGAAAGGTTTTTGAGTTTAAGGGTGTGTGTGTGTGTGTGTGTGTGTGTGTGTGTGTGTGTGTGTTGTTTTGAATTTTCTGGTTAATGCCAACAGGACTAAATCATAAAGACTTTTCAACAACATTTATCAATATTTCCTGAGTATAAGAATACTACAGCCTTGTCAGTATAAATTTGCACATCAAGGACTGACCCCAAAGAATTAATTTCCTCAAGAGGTGATAACACACAAGGCAGAAATAGTAGCGCTGAAGAGGGGAGGGGGAAGTAATCTTTCATAAGGATTTAAAGTGCAAAACCGGGGCCGGGGAGATGGCTCAGTGGAATAAGCACTTCCCTGGCAAGTGCAAGGGTCTGAGTTCAATTCCTGGTTCCGCCAAAAAAAAAAAAAAAAACTAAAGTGCAAAACCATGCTAGGCAAGGCTGTTGTGCTCTCTTCAAAAGTTAAAAGACTTTTAAAAAGACTGCCTTGACAAAGCAATCAGCATATTTCTGCAAACAACAGTCTAAAAATTTACAGACATCTGAATTTTAATATTTTAATTGGTAGTGGGTGGCATTTATAATTTTAGTGAGTGATTAAGGTTTCAGAAATGACAGTTGAACATCTCTACCACATCCACAGTAGATTTTCAAACATTTGGTTGCATTTTAGTCATGAATAATTTGTTTTCTATTGTGAAAGTAAAATTAATTAAATATGATAGATTTTTTTGTATTGTAAAAATTTATAACTGAATGTAAGTTTAATGTTCTTTCTGAATTAACTTTTGTTTCAGCGATGTTGGTTATTATTGGAAGCAGATAGAAGATTAGTAATTAAAATTCATATAACAAGGTCCAGGGAGATGGCTCAGTAGAATAAGTGCTTCCCTGGCCAGCTCAAGGGCCTGAGTTCAATCCCAGTTCTGCGCAAAAAAAAAAAAAAAAAAAAAAATTCATATAACATAAAAACTATTTCTAGATGGATATGGTAGTACACACTTTAATCCTACCTCTCTGGGTGACTGAGGCAAAAGCATTTCAACTTCAATCCCAAATTCAATTTCAGGCTGGGCCATTTAGAGAGGCCCTGTCTCAAAATAAAATAGAAGACTGCTGATCTAGCTCAGGGCAAAGGCCCTGGGTTCAATAACCAGTAGTAAAGGAGGAAAAATAAATTTTATTCCAGTAGCTATTGTAAAAAAATTTTATATTGTCTGATAACAAGTTAGATGCCTAACTGCTTTGAGTATCAATTCTTAACAATGCCTGTACATCATTAAGAAACAACATGCCCAAAGAGAAAATAGTTGAAAAGAGAAATAACATCTCAAAACTAGTCTTTTCCTAAGTAGACCAGATACATCATTTGTGATTTGTATAATCAGTCATATGTGTAGCAGCAAATTGTGAGAATACTAAGATTACTATATCTGTATTGTTAAAGTATTAAAAAGAAAAGTTACTTTAGTGGCCTGATTTTTGTCCTAAGGACAGGATTAGATATTAATTGCATAATGACCAGATAAATTCCAGCTTACCTGATACCACAGAAAAGAATTAATGAACCTATCTTAGATATAATTGAAAAAGTTTAACCCATTTTGTTTTAAAAGGCTTTTCTGTAGGTTATCCAATTGTACATGCTCTAATGGTAATAAATAGCTGTTCTGTTTTTCTTCAGGATTAAATTTCTAACAGTGAAATTTCTCTAATGTAGAATAATATTTCCATGCTTGTCATTGCTGCCATTATTTTATATTTCTGAGTTTTCAGGTTATACTTTTTAAGAGTTTTTGTTCATTAGCTAAACATTGTCCCCAGAATTTAGCCCTTGATGGATATGGTTAACACAAAAAAACAGCATATATTTATAGTCTATTTCTCTTTTATTTTAAATAGGAAAGCACAGACATTCAGTGCATATGTTATATTTAAGATGGAATCATGTACCAAGATTTTTTTTTAATCTAGGTAGTATTTGGTAGTTTTAACATGAGTTGCAGTCTACTCTGTTAATTTATCTCAAGTATTAATTTTAAAGTGTCTCTCTAATTTATAAAGATAAAATTTACCTGTAATTCAGACCCTCTTGTCTCTGAGTTGGACACTTCATAACACTTGAAAAGCTTTTCTCACCTGTAGTGTGCCCTGCCTAAGGTGTGACACTTATTTAAAAACATTTTTTCTGTTGTCTTCCTATCTTCTCCAATTGTTTTACACACAGAAAAGTCTGCTAAGGGTAGAAACTGAATATACCATCACTCCTTCCACTTCCTGAATTTAGCATTTTCTGTGTATCTTTTAAAATAAATAGGGGGCCGGGGAGATGGCTCAGTGGAATAAGCGCTTCCCTGGCAAGCGCAAGGGCCTGAGTTCAATCCCTGGTTCCGCAAAAAAAAATAAATAAATAAAATAAATTAAAGCTGAGAGTATAGATGGAGTATCATACATCTGTAGCTTTATGCAGAGAATACAGAAGCCTAGCCTTGGTCTTCTGCTGGGTACCCTCTTTCTTTGCTTCGTTTCTCTTGGAGATCGGTGGACTTTGGTGATAAATCAAATCCCACTTGGCTCTCAATTCTTAGCAAGGGTACCTTGGGCTGTCCCTGTGTCCTATGGTTCCATTTTCCTGTTTTCTAGATACTAAATTAAGATGCTTTTTCGCATGCTTGACCAGAGTAGATTATGATATTTTCACCTCCAGACCTGGTTTTTTCCTACTTCTTCCTCAGGTCCTTTTATTGGGCTGTCCAGTGCAGATCTGTTTAGTACTGTACAGAAATTAACAGGGGAAAGTGTTGTGTTGTAGTCATTAGTTAGCAAAGAACAGCTTAATAGACTTAATTCACGATATTTCACTGTTTAATCCAAAGACCCTGATACTTTATCCTGGACAATCATGCTTGCTTTCTTCCTGTGTGATCATTCTGTCTTTCTTTCAGCCCTAGAGAAAAGTATGTGTTCTTCAAATTGTCCTGACTTCTTTTATGCTGTTTTCACTCATAAAATTTTGGCGCTGGCTGGATATCTTCGTCCCATTTTTTTTGTTTTGGTTTCATGATCTTGCCCTAGTTAATTCTGTGATCTACTGATACTTCATTTAAAATGTTCAAGAGCCTCTATATACATTTTTAATACTTGAACCCTAAAAAAGGGATACTTTTTAAAAAAGAAGACTTATTTGCTGTCTCAGTTCAGTTACCCTTCTCTCACTACTGGGACAAATACCCAACACTCAAAATGAAGGAAGAAAAGGTGTATTTAGCTCACAGTTATTGGAGGTTTCAGTCCATACACAGCTGGCTCCAAGCAAACTGGCATATGGCAGAGGGCAGCAGTTCATGATAATGAAGGCAACAAAACAGCAAGAGCCAAAGGGAGGAGTAACAACAATGGCTACAGAGAGCAAGCCTGTCTCCTGTAAGTTGCATTCAAGCTCTCTGCCCCAGGCTGGGTGTAGCACTCAGACCCATATTCCCAGAAGTACTCAGACCCATAATCCCAGCCTTGGAGCATGAATTAATCATAAACTGTTGAACTACACCTCAATGACTGCATGAGACTTTGAGGGGACAAATACACACAAACCATAACATTTGCCCATATCAGTGCAGTTGCTAGCATAAAGTCTGTGCTTAATCTGCTGAAAGAATACATAGATTTTGAGTTTTAGTCCCAAGGTTTACATACTAAAAAAATAATGAAGATTAAGTTAATCCTTCCCCCTTCGTCTCACTCCTAAATTTAATTTTATTTATTTATTTATTTATTTATTTATTTATTTATTTATTTATTTATTTTGGCAGAACCAGGGATTGAACTCAGGCCCTTTCGCTTGCCAGGGAAGTGCTTATTCAACTGAGCCATCTCTCTGGCCCCAAAAGATTTATTTTGGTTTTTGTTTTGTTTTGTTTTGTTTTTTTCAGAACTGGGGATTGAACTCAGGCCCTTGTGCTTACCAGGCAAGCACTTATTCTACTGAGCCATCACCCCCTAAATTTATTTTATTTATTTTTATTTTTGGCAGAACCAGGGATTGAACTCAGGCCCTTGCACTTGCCAGACAAGTGCTTATTCTACTAGCTATCTTCCTGGCCCCTTCTAAATTTGCTTAATTGAAAGACACTCTTGACAAAGTTACCTTTATTCACTAACTTGAAGTCTCTCTTGAGTAAGATTTAGGGCTGAGGACATAACTCAGTGGCACAGCACCTGCCTGGCAAGCTCAAGATCCTGAGTTTGATTTCTGATACTAAAAAAAAAAGAAAAAGAAAAAAGATCTAATTTCAGCACAGGGTCAGAATGAAAAAAGGCTTCCTACCCCTGCCCATGTCCTTTGTTTGTTACAGTGCTCCTGAGCTTCCCAGTCCCTAGAGAACCAGTGCTGTGATTGGCCTGCCCTAAGATCTCCACTTGTGGAAGATAGTAGCTGCCAGAACTACATGGAGCACATAAATGTATTCTATTACATCTTGGTTAATCAAAAACAAGCAAGTTGAGAGTTTCTGTTCGATATAAGCAACTAGAAAAAAGCCTTCTTGGCAGCTAGTGGCACATTGCACTAACCTACATGAAATACTGAAAATAGTTCACAGTGGCATCTTTACTATGAGAGATCCTTCAAGGTATAGGGAGTTCTGGGAACAAGAAGACCCCTGTTTAGGCTGCGCCTCTACATGTCAGACCCAGTAGTTTAAGGATGACTAGCAGAGTTGGTTGTATTTCCAAGTGAACACGTTAGGCTGATGCCTTTCTTTTGCCTTTTTTTTTTTTTTTTCAATACAGATTGAATATGAAAGGAAGAAGAAAGAAGATGGAAAGAGAGCTCGGGCAGATAAACAACACGTTCTAGATATGCTGTTTTCAGCCTTTGAAAAACACCAGTATTATAACCTTAAAGACTTGGTGGATATCACAAAACAGCCCGTGGTATGTATATGTTTATATTGATCTTTTAAGCTTCTGCTTCATTAACATGTCATTACTGAAGATAAATATTTCCTTCCTGTGTAGTCATTTATCCTAATGACAGTTTACATTGACACTCAGAAATATGTCTTAATGCAGCTATTTTTTTGTGACATGAGCTTCATTATTATAGAGTTCAAATACATTTAATATCAATAATTCTGTATGAAGAGAAGAAAGCTTTTTGATTTATTCTTGGCAAATCTGAAGGCTGTGTTATGTATTAACATTCCCTTTTGTTAAAATATTAACTTAAATTTCAAAAAATATAAGTAATTTTTTTAATAGAAAAAAGTACTTGTGCTGCAGTATTATCAGTTCATTCTAATGACTTCACTCCCTTTGGCATCAAAGCCTTAGAAACTACATTTCAAGTTAGATTTAAAAAATTGAAAAAGAATAATTCATTAGCTAAGCAGTGTTTCTTCTGGTTTTAATGATATTTATCTGTGTATTTTATATATAAGTATATATTTTTAAAAATCTATTCCAGAAATTTTCAATGTAATCAAAACATTCTTAGGAAATAAAACATGTATAAGATTAGATACAGAAAAACAGGCACTTGTAGAGGGACATCTTTTTTTTTTTTTTTTTTTTTTTTTTTTTTTGGGACATCTTGATAATACTAGAGAGAGCAGTTTCTTTATCTTGGCATATAAGACTTACTCATTTTGCATCAAAGAATGGATTATTAGAATGTCTCTGTTTTGATTCTTCAGATAATTTTCAGATGTGAGTACTTAATGATCTCTTAGAGCTTCTTGACTCATGATTGAGGGTAGACTTAGCTTTTATGGGGAACAAACCCATAGTGTGTATCAACTTGTCATAGAGAACCACTAATTAAGAAACTGCTTTATAATAGTTTTATTATTTATAAACTACCTTAACAAGCATTTGGAGAGGGTGTTTTTGTTTTGAGACGGAATTTCACCACCATCCCCAACCCTGAGCAGCTTCTTGAAGACTTTGTAGTATGTTATCCTTGTCCCTAAATATTTATATACCTTACAACATAAATTTAGTAAAAATTCAGTAAATATTTAATGAATTTATCTTTTTTTTTAAAAAAAAAAAAAGGATTTTTTAAAAAATCAGTGGATTTTGACAGGCAGAATAGGGTTGAGGGACAAAGAGCCAGTCTCAGGAAAATATTACACATAACACCAGGAAATAGACCAGAGCTCAGGTTAGCCTCACCTGCGAAGTTAGGGGGAAGTGGACAGTGGCTTTGAGTCCTGCTGTTTAACCTCATTGGGGAAGTCATTACCATTCCTAAAGTGGAGGAATAGACTGGTCTTTATGATCCCTTCCAGCTGTAAATCCATGATTGTCTTCCTCTCTTATTTCATCTCCTCTCTGCTCCACTCTGACAATTGAGCGGAGTTGGCAAAACCAATTGATCAGAAAAAAATTGCCAAGGCCCAGTTCTTTTCTGTGTAGGTAAATAACCTTTTAAAAAAGTTCATAGAACATAAGTGAATATACACTAATGATCATTAGACTACTAAATTAATTTTACTCTGAGTAATGTCATGAGGATTTAACAAATCTAGTCTCTCATGAAGACCATGATCCCGTAAAGAGAGCTTCCTGATATAAGGGGGAAAAAAGCACTGGATTTGGAGTAATGTAATCTCATTTCAAGTTGCAATCCCTGCCATTTATTCCAGGACCAAGCAGTACTGTACTAGCTACTTAAATTTTTTGTTTTTGTTTTTGTTTTTGTGGTACTAGGGATCAAACTCAGGACCTTACACTTGGCAGGCAGGCGCTTATGCTGCTGAGTTATTTCCCTGGCCCTTACTTAAATAAATTAAATACATTATTTGTATATTTAATTTACTTAACATATAGCATATTTAATGTAAAAGGTATCAGGCCATCCAAATAGCTCAGCAAATTAAAGCGCCTGCAAGCAGGGGCCAGGGGTTTGATCCCCAAGCCTGTAGTACAGGCCCCACCCCCGGGGCATGCTGAGAAGGTAATTGAGACTGGGCGTGTTGGCACGAGCCTGTAATCCCAGCTCTTGGGAGACTAAACAGGTGGATCACTACAAGTCCAATCTAGTATTGAGACCCTAAACACCCTGTAGACCCTTCCCTAAAATACAAAATAAATAAATAAAATGTATCAATGTTTATATTATGATTTATACAATAATAGTTTACAAAATTCTTGTGATAATTAAATGATTGTGAAAAATGCTTTGTCAAATGCAGAAATTTTACTTACATTACTAGTATTGTGAAACAAACTTTTAACCCCAAGTAAAAGAACAGAAAAGAATTTTAGTGTTGTCAGTTCCAATACTCTTCCTCTTTTTTAAAATTTCGTATGTATGTGTCTTAGTCCATTCTTTTTTGCTGTCGAGTATAGCAGATGGATTTATAAAAAACTGAAGTTCATTATAGTTCTGCAGGCTAGGAAGTCCAAGAGCATGGTACTGATACCTGCTCACCTTTTGGATGGTGGCGTGGTGGACGATTTCACAAGGTGAGACTGAGACTGATTTTTTGAGCCTCCTGATCCACTATTGATAACAAATTTATAATCACGAAATCTATCACTATAACATGTCCTCTTTGTTTTGTTTTGCTGTTGGATTTTGTTTTGTTTTGTTTCTTTTTTTGAGACAGAGTCTCACTATACGGTACAGACTGGGCTTGAACTCACTTTGTAGCTCACGCTGGCCTTTAACTTCTAGTGATCCTCCTGCCTCAGCCTCTGGAGTACTGGGATTATAGGTGTGCGCCACCATACCCAGCCTCCTCTTTGTTGGAAGTAGTACTAATCCCATCTGCTTTCTGATCTTATATCATTTTTTTATATATTCTGAGTGAATCCAAAGTATTATTTTTCTCTTTTTTTTTCTTTTCTATATTAGTTTTTCTCTCAAAAAAAATTCTACAAGCAAACAAAACATTCTAGAAACAAACTTGTTTATTGAATAAGGGAGCTACCTTTAGGACCAGTTCTTTTTGTGTCATTTGCTAGTATGTGATTTCAACAGGCAATCAGAAACAGTGAAAGTTTCTTACCAGGGGCAAATAAGCCAATTTGAAAAGACCAAACTTTGGAAACTGATATGCAAACAGTTTCAGAGGTATTCTTATATGGTTTAATTTGTGCCCCCCCCCAAAAAAAATGAAAGATTAGAAGAAGCCTATTATTTCTCTCTGACATTTGCTGATCTAATAATAATGAGCTGGGCATAGAGGCACATGCTTGTAATCCTTGCACTCTAGCAAGGGGATCACAAATTCAAGCCCCGCTTAGGTAATTTAATGTCTTAGTGAGACCTTGTATAAAAATTAAGAAGAGATGTTACGCAGTACATAGGCTAGGCCCTGGGCCCAGCCCCTGGTGCCTGTAAAGAGAGAAACAATTAAAAACTTTATTTTTTTAGCACTCATCAGTGCCAGGCTGTGAAGAATATGGGAGCTGTAACCCTACTTCCTGACACAGCCCTCCTGGGCCAGTGATCTCTTAACTGTACGTTTCTTTTCCAAGTGTCATGGAGAATCAACTCTTCTTTTCCTCCCGATTTCAAGTCAAGATTCAAGAAGTTTATCTCTGTTGATACTCCATTCTAATTCTGGTTCCCAATCACATCAATCCTGGGGATCATGTTTTAATTCAGAATAGATAATTGAACAAATAGCATGCTAGTAAAGGTAAGTCCAAGTCAACATGAGAAACAAGGGCCTCGCATTCTGGACTCCTCCTCTCAGGAGCTATGCCTATTCCGCATTCCACCATTCCTACTCCCCATTCCTATTCTCCAATAAATTGTCCTACTCTTACTAACAAAGAAGAAAGAAGGAAATACTAAATGCAGTATGGTACCCAGACTTTAATACTCCCAGTTTTAAATACTACCAAATAAGTGATTGCTTTCCATAAACAAAGCAGTTACACTGCTCTGTCAGCAATCAGATAGCATTAATCTAACCTTCAGAGTTTATAGGCCTAAGTAAGAATTTGAGTAAAGTACTTTCAACAAAATTTTGGGATGAAGATACAAGAACCAGTGCTTTTTTGTATTTTAGGGAAGAGTATACAGGGTGTTAAGGGTCAAGAGCTAGAATTACAGGCATGCGCTACCACCCCCAGTCTTAATTGCTGTCTCAGCACGCCCCAGGGGCAGGGCCTGCACTGCAGGCCCGAAGATTGCACCCCTGGACGCAGCACCTGCTTGCAGGCGCTTTAATCTGCTGAGCTATTTGGCCAGCCCCTCTGTTTTTGTTTTTTTTTTTTTTTACCTCATTTCTAAATAAGGTAAACATTTGGAGCACATATCAGTTAGCTTATTATTTTGCATAAGATATTGCATAGAAAAGAACAATATCTGAGATGGGTATTCAGAAAACAAAACTGCTTTCATTTATATACAAAATGTGACAGAATTTTCACTTAAGTGACCAGTCACGAAATTTATATTTAATATAAAAAAATGCCACTACCAATGAAATCCCTACCCCATCTTTCCAGGCCCATTCAGTATTTTTAAAAAAGGAAAAGGAAGAATGTAGCCCTATTAACACTCTTCTGCTGGTTTCCTTAGTCCCTGAAGACTTATTTTCAGTTTTGCCATCCAAATGGAATTAATTTCTATCTGGAGGGAAATAATTTTCTTTGTGTTTGTCTGCATTCAAGAAAATCTCACTCTGTGGGTTTGGATAAGTGTTCAAAGCCCCCCATGTCTATCAGCTGGTGGGTTCAGATGCCACAGAATATTTCTGCCAGCAAAGGGCCTGACAGTGCCACACTGCCTTTATAGGTCTACACTGCAGCACTGTGCTATCCTATCTTTCTAGAATGTCTCAGTACCAATTTTTTTTTTTTTTTTTTTTTTTTTTGGCTCCAAACACCTTGAGGGCAGGTTTGGCTGGCTTGAGTTGTGGGGCTCAAACCACAGCCACCTAAGCCTGACAGCTTTGTGGAAGCAGCCACTT